GAATAATATTTATGACAGGTGAATAAGGTTTGAACACTTAAATTTTACTTCTGTTGATTTAAAATTGTAGACTGTGATGAAAACTAGCAATTAGCTTCATCATCCTAATGTCAAATATAGGAGTCTCTCAGTCCTGTCTTCAAACTGGGATTCAATTAATGCTTTGTCTTTGACAAATATGAGAGCACATATTTGGGGGTTTTTTGCACTGTGGTGGATGCCCAGAGTAGAAATAATACTGAGTGATTTTCTTTGGTGTAGATAAACTTCATTGAAACTTTGGAAAGTATGTAAACAAGATAAATTATTTAAACATTTAAAATGGAGTTTTGGATAGAGCTGCATTATGTTATCACCATTCCTTTGTCCAGGCTCACTTGCATTCTTAAAATACTGTGAGGACCACCTGTTTCACCTTGCTTCAATTCACTTACAGACTCTTTTCACCACAGATATTGTCATTCCCACTAACAGCTGCTAGATGGGGTTCAGAAGCAAATTCCAAATAGAGACACTTGTAAACTCTTACAAATTTTTGAGTAGAGACTTCAAACCTGTCTCATCATGGAACAGTCATATTTGAACAGGGATCTTGAACAAGTGTCAAGGAATGCTCTGGTCTTCACAAAAGGGAAATGATTATATGAAAGACTTCAGCTTCTCATTTGCCTTTATGACTACCTTTTTCATAGACTTTCTCTGCCTTTGTTTTTCCAACTGGTCTTCTCAGCAGTGCTTCTGTTTTGACATGTTGCAACTGGAGATCATGTCTTGCTCTTTTATTTGTAGTTTTGGGCGTCATCTGTGCCACCTCCCCTAAATTCATATGTAAAACTCCTGATACCCTAAATTGTCAGATTTAGTAGAATGTACACTTGTGTCTTTTAAAACAAATGTTTTTTAAGATTCACTGTGTTCTTTTGGATTCCTACTCCACTGCCAGGATCTACAAACATGACATGTAAAAATTTGCTGACCTGTATAAAATAAGGAGCTTTTGTGGGTTGGGAATGTTAAAATAATGTGATGGTGGTGATTAGTAGAAAAGCAGAGATCCAATTTAAAGGAATAGGTTAATATAGTGACCATGGTGTGGTGGGTTCATCTTGGCCAACCACTAACTCACTCCCCCTCTTCAACAGGGCAGGGCAGAAAATACAATGCCAAGGCCTGGCTGTCGAGGAAAATCAGGGAGCCTGGCCACCAGTTCCATCACAGTAAAAAGCAGACTTGGCTGGGGGAAAGTTATTTTAATTTCCTGCCAGTTAAAGTAGATTTGTGTAGTGAGAAGCAAAGGCAAATTAAAACAAAATTTTCCACATCCTCTTCCCCTTCTTCCCAGGTTCATCTTCCATTCTTCATTCCTGACTCATCTACCTCACTCCCCACCCCAAGCAGCACAGCAGGATGGGGATGGGAGGTTGTAGTCAGTCCATAGCACATCCTCTCTGCTCTTCCTTCCTCCTCACACTTTTTCCTTCCTGCAGCTTGGGTCCTGCCCATGGGCTGCAGTGCAGAATCTTTATTTATTTGTATGTTTCTGTGCTCTCTGCTTTGGGCCTTATATGTTAATTGCTTTGTAAAAGAACCTGAAATCCAACGATGTGATATTGTATTAGGCCATTTAACAGCTGGAAGTTGTGCTATTATCATCGAAACCGTAACAATTTGAACATAGCTGAGTTGCCTCTTTCTACCTGTTTTCAGCTATGAAAGCAATAGTGCGTTAGACTTTCTATCTAGTTTAATCTACTTTGTGCTTTGTTATTTTAATTTTCATGCAAATTAAAAATGGTAATGTAGCCAAACAATTCTCTAAAGGTCCCTCATCTCATTTTAAAGTAAACTGAAATATTTACCCCAAAAATGTTTTTACATCTGAGTATTTAAATATAGTTTGTTATTCTTGATGTGGAGGTTTTTTTGTATGGGTTTTTTGCTATTTTTTTTTTGAGATTGTGTGTGTGTGTGTGTGTTTGTATGTTTTGTAAAGCAATCAAATCTGGAATGGATTTGGTTTCTTTCACTATGGATCTTTCACCAAAAAGTTCACCAAAATTTTCACTCCTGTGTTAGGCATGGTGTTTGCTCTTCTGAATTGAAATTTAATTGACCTATTAGCATTACATCATAGTACAGATATTTCCAGGAAGTGATGTTTGTTGATGAGACTGGCAAATACAAACCTACTACCCTCAGCATATTGCCTTTTTTGCAAATAAGAGTTATTCCAAAAAGTTCTTCCCTCTTCCAAAAGGAGTTATTCCCATGTTCTGTTCCAAATAAAAATTGAGCATTAATTTCATAAAATTTTTACCATCATCACTGAGGCAGATGGAAATAAGAACGGCTTGGTGGTTTTGTCTCAGATTAAGAGCTGCATCCCATGACATGGAAGGAAATGTGCTCACACCAGCCCCAAAATCGCTGTCTGGAGTGCTGGCAGTAGGTCTGCAGGCACCAGGATGCCACTGGGAACTGAGGAAAAGAGGAAATTCTTTGGTGCTTGTAGCCAGCACTGCCTGCTAATCCTGTGTGTAACACCACTGGCAGCCTGGCTCAGTGTGGAGGGCCAGTTCTCCAAAGAGATGGGACACAACTGTGTTTAGCCACTGCCTAAGTTACCTGAAATACCAGGGATATAGTGGCTCAGACTGCTCTGACAAATCAATCTTCACCTTGATCAAGTATTCGGGGCTCAAAAAGACATTCCCTATCATTGTCCATCAAATCACTCACATTTGTCCATGAAACTTTAGCTTCTTGGCTTCTGGAACAGAACTGATGAAAGCTAAGGTGTGGTCTGATTAATGGTTTTACCATTTGCTTCTGCCCTTCCTGCCTGCATCTGTGGTGGTCTCTTCATTATCTATCCACGGATTATAAAATCTTGGATCTCTTTGCCTGGCAGGTCTTCCCTCTCCACCTCCAGCTCCCAAAGCTTCGTTCTGCTCCTTTATTCCCTTTGGTCAGAAATTCGTTCATTGTTATCCCTTTAAAAGTTGGCCTTTTGCAGTATTTTGTTTTTAAAGTGTACTGCTTATTAATTTATCTCAAATGAGAGCAAGATGAGTCTGTTATGTGCTAATATACAATGGATTGTGATATGCACAAAGAATGTCTCTAAGCTGTCCACTTGGATAAAGTAGCCCTTCTTTGGGTCAGTTTTGTGCATAACATTCCTCCTGGGAAGTTACTTTGGATAAATCAAGAAACTAAGGTTTTGAATTTTAAGTGAAAGACGGGAATATAACTGCCTGGTAGACAAAACTAAAGATAAAATCAGTAATAACAGTAGTCTGGCAATAAAAGCATTGATTGATTTAAAATAAAATCTAAAAAATCTAATGAAAAGGATTTGTGAGGTGCCAAAACTGAGGTTATCTATTATAATTCTGCTATAGATTCATACCAAGTTAGCAAAATCCCTCTCATGACAGATATCTTTAAATAGTCTTGCCTTTGCATGCACATACATTCCTTACTGCTCCTCAGAACATTTATTTATTGATAGGAGCTGTGTAAAGGCAAGAAAATTAGATTATTTGTTATGTTAAGCACATTTCCACATTGCTGATGTTTCATTATGCTGCTTAAGCTCTCAGTAGGAACTTTAATTTTGTGTGTATTTTCAAGAAACCTTCTTTTCAAGCAAAAGTTTCGGGAAGCAGCAGTTTTATAATTCTGACAGTCTAGACTATTCAGTATGACTTGAGGATTGTTTTTTGGAAACAGAACTTTGTGCTTAGCCTTTCCTATTGTGTTTTTCCTTTCAGCAAAGAAAGGATGCACAAAGATAGATTTTGTGGGTTTAGGAAACAGATGATAGCATGCAAAGCCTCATGTTTATATGCACTGTGGTGTTTTGACCTTTATTTAATGGTGTTTTTTGAAAACTTCAGAGCAGGTCAGTGAAGGGTGTACTCAGTGTTTGAGGTCAGCAAGTGAAAACAGACAAGGGTCATCTGCCCCTTATTGTGTGTGTGAGGGGTGAGGGTCTGTATCTATTTATTTGAAATTTTCTTAGCCGGTCTTCAAAAGAGCTAAAAGAAAAAAAAAGAGGCAACATTATCTAATCAAAGCTGCTCAGTCAACTAATGACGTCAAGTAGTAACCTTAACCTTCACTTTCTCACTGTATTTCCTTTGGACTATAAGCTATTTAATACAGCTAAAAATTACCTCATCCATCATAGCAATGTAGCCTTTTTCTGTGCTTCACTGTGTAGTGGGTTTATCAGCACTGGGCATGGGAATGAGGTGAAGAATCATTTCTTCTTTAATTGAATTTGCAGATTGGAATGTTGGAGGAGAGGGGCAGCAATGGTCTGTGCTGGCACTGGGCCAGCCCCCCAGGTTGTCAGCTCCCTGTGAACAGAGTGCTTTAATCACTGCACAGACTGGGTGCAGGGTGTGCAATAAATGCATTCAGTCCTGCAGTTGTGTCTAACATGAATTTTGAGCTACAGCAGTAATTTAGAATAGAAACATGACCTGCGTGTGGTCGCGCTCCGTGCTGACTTGACTGCTGTGTCTGAGAAAGATGATTGTGTTGTGTGATGAGAGCGGGTGTCAGGTGCTATCATGGGGAAATAAAAGCACTTATTACCTTGTGGTGTGATTTGTTCATATGACCTTGCTGTTGGAAAGAATAATTTTGCCTTCTGGTATCATTTACAACAGCATGTCACTTCTTCCTGCTGTTTCCAGTAAAAGTAATAAGGCTACTTAGGCTACTCAGAGGTGACCTGATGTGCACATAGGTAATTAGAGCAGGTGTCATTCTCAATTCAGTTCTCAGCATTGTAGAGAATAATGTGTTATTGCTTTTGCGAAAGGGAAGCTGGTAATTGTCAAATACTTAAAAATTAGCAGTTAAATGGCAGTTGGCAAGTCCTTGCAGCAGCAACATCTTTTTTTTGTTGTTGTTGTTGTTGTTTTCCTCTCTTGTTGCTTATGCCAGTCTAGAATATGAGAATCACAGATTTGTTTTTTCCTCAGAATATGGCGGCATGGGTTTGGACTTCTCCTATCATATTGCAGTGGCAGAAGAGCTGGGAAATATCCATTGTGGAGGTATTCCCATGGCCATTGGAGTGCAAACTGGCATGGCTACCCCTGCTCTTGCAAGGTAATTTTCAGAAAGCTTGGTTTAGCCTAAAACCCAATTGTCATGAGTAGAAAAAAGCAATACTGTGTAGATTTACTGCCTAGTTGCTACTCAGTAATGCCTGAGGAAAGAAGCTACTCTCTACTTCTCTCAGTTTGCTTTAGGGGAGAAAATACTTTCTCTGGTTTGTTTTTTTTTTTTTTTTTTTGGGTTTTGTTTTGTTTTGTTGTTGTTGTTGTTGTTTTTTCATGTTTGAGTTATATTGATTATATATTAAAACATTAACCTTGTTGAGTAGTAGATAATATGTTTACAAACACAAGATATTGGTACCACAACCAGTTAAAAAATTTAATTCCAGAATCCAATTTGTTCATGTTTTACTTTTTCTTACATCCCAGTGCAGTAATACTAAGGATGCATTTAGTTGTAATGATTGGGATCAGTCTAATTCTGCTTTATAATTTACTTGCTCTTTTTCCAGCTTTGCAAGGTGTCAGTCCTAAAGTTGTAGCACATATATCATGCTTCCTAAATATGCTCATTCTAGGCAATTAATAATTTTTCTTTTTCTCATCAGCTACATCAGTGTTCCCATTTTAATCACGCATTATCATTCAGGCTCCGGCATTTTCTTAATCTGATTTGTTGTGGTTTTTTCCTCCATCTTGGTTTGGAAAGACAGGTGCCTAAGGAAGGCAGGAGCCTCTCCTGAAATGGAGAATATAAACCCCCTCCCACCCCACTCCTAATTGCTATGAATTTTAAATTAAGGGGGTCTCACTGGAGGTCTCATCTACAACAATTTTTTTTTAAAGTTTTCTTCTCCTTTGCATAATGCAACAAAAGCTTGCTAAATGCAAGAAGTTCAGTATGTCTCTTGCAACAGTGGCTTAGCTATAGTCCAACTGAGAATAAGAATAGTATTTTAAGACTTCAGACAGTACTACCTTGCCCCCACGACGGCCTTTTATTCAGGGGTTTAAAGAAAATCTGTGGGTAAAAGAAAATGGGATTTTGTTCCATTGCAGTTTTTTGGCCTTGTGTTACTCTGTTCTACTGTAGTAAAACAGTAAAGTTATGCATATTTGTGCTAGTGAAGTCCTAAAGTGGAAGTTCTTGGAAAATAAGACTGAAATTTTTGTTAACTTGATAAAATCTTTAATTGAATTTGTGTCTGCATTATTGAATTTTTCCTCCACTGCTGAGCCAATTCCCCTGGCTATTTATACAGTACAATGCCCCCTGCCTCCCCAGCCACCACATGTAAAAGTGAATGGTTGGTAATGAAAAGAGAAAGCTGGTTGCTACAGGAAATTTTGCCTGCGTGCATCTTTACCTCATGCTGTGTAGTGGGAAGACCAACTGCTTGTCCTGGGTCATGGATTCAAATGGCACCCGTGTCCTGGATGGTTTCTTTAAAAGTATCTGTGTGCTGTGGGGATTCTAAACCTGTTCGTAGAGATAAGTCAGATTTTGCATCTTGGCTATGCATTGTTGCACAAATCAAGCAATAATGTGGGAATCAACCATCAAACCCTAAAAAAGCCTCTGTAGCTCTTTGTTGGCTTTCATAAACTTGGGCTTTGTTCAGCACTCATCCAGCACACTTTTGAGTGTACCTACAAATGCCATGAATGTGATTCCTGTAATTCCCAGAGTCCCCTAAGTGATGCAGAAAGATTTTCTAAATTTAAGAACTACATAGAAAATGCTTTGTCCAGTGATCTGACCTTTGGTGGTTTGGAACATAACTTTCTGCCAGGTCTTTCAAATGCATTCAGATATAATAGTGCCCTTCTTGCTTACAAGTAGAGTGGAGAAAGCAGCTCCTAGCTGAGGCAGTGAATGAGACGCATTTCCCACAGTTTGTAGACATGCCTGTAGGGTGTCACATCTGTAGTGATACCAAATCAGTTTAGAGCTGCTTATCTCAGCAGTAGGCAGTGAACTTTCCTTTTTTTTTTTTTCCCAGTTGTTTATAGGCAAATAGTAAGCAAATTTAAGATGGGTAGAATTTTACAAAAGTGACATGTTTTTAACACAAAAGCTAGCAGCTGAGCAAGAAGCTAGCTGTATCCTGCAAGGCATGGAGACCTACCATCTTCTGAAGATAGTGTGATAGTGTTGCCCAACTAATTTAATTTTTTTTTTTTTTTTTTGATTGCACAATAACATCTTCTATAATCACATTTTTGGAAAGAACTGAGCTGTTTTCCGGAACTCAAAACAAAGAAAGACATCACCAAAAATACTATTATAAGCAAAGTTCCTGCTGTGAAAGTCCTCTGTTGAAATGCTAAAGGTTAGCAAAGTTTCAAGCATTAGAAAGCATTGCCAAAAATCACCACTATCTGCTCTCATAATCTGATTTTCCATGTTGTTGGTTGGGCTGTTTTTTTTTTTTTTTTTTTTTTTTTTGATGATGAATGTGCAGCTAGCCATACTTGATCAGGAAAATTAAAAAACAAAGTTTGCTGCCTAACAGACATGGGTACTTTGCTCCAGTATGCTAGAGGAAGGAGCAGGCACTCCAGACTTGCTACTTGAATTTATTTGGGATTGCTGCTGTGATTTTCAGCAGGGACTGGACTAGGAATGGAGCTCCTTGTGCACAGCAAATGGAAGTGTCTGCCAGATCCCTGTCCCATGTCCTTTGTGCCAGGGTTGGTTGGAGGGGATGACTTAGTCTTAGCTTGAATGGCACCGCTCCTTTGGAAGTACTGGGACAATGTTTCAGAAGGAGGCCCCAGCGAGCCTGAGGAGGCGAGTGGTGATGATGACCTGAGAAGCCTCACAACAAAGAGGAAGCTCAGGAGGAACTTGAATTTATGGATTCCTGGACACAGAAGATATTTCATGGTCAAAGGAATTTTTCGGTCGCACGTGAAAGGTCTGAGGACTAGACCGTGAACTCACCATTCACACTGCAAGAAGAAATCAGTGAATTTAGTGAATTTTAATTAGGACAAAATCAAGCATGAAATAAGATGTAGCATATCTTGAATGGATACAGTCTTCTAAACAACAGGAACACAGCGTGTGCCTCTTAACTGAATTTAAATACAGCCAAGTGAAATTTTTGTGTTAAAATACCATCCACAGTTTGCTGTTTCCTTTTTTATTTTTGTGGAGATAAAAGAACAGCTGGAAGAAGCATTAATGCATTTTACTGTGTGATTTAAATGTAGTTGTGAAATAGACATAATTTAAATACAGGTATTTGCAGATGGTGGCCATCACATGTCAAAAGTTTTCAGTCACCACTAAAACGGGGCAAAGAGACGGTGCAAAACAACAGAGAGGAGCAGGCCCTCCATCCTGGTGGTTGCAGAGTAGTGCAGGAGCATTGAGAGGAATCCTCAGGGGTTAAGTTTATTCATGTCTATGTTTATATTTATTTATTTAGATCTGGAACTTTTAAAGCAACAGCCATGAAGATAGATTTGGCTATCTAGACCACATGTTTCTGTGGGAGTAAAATGCCTGAATGCTTTTTAAAACTTCTTTGAAATGATTGTGACTGCACTTCTGGTGAAGACTGAATCACAGCTTCTCTGATAAATACCCTCTGTATACAGAGGGTATTTATTCTATCTTTTGGCTCTGGGATAGCTTTTACCTAATCATAGGAAAATTGACCACTGTGTGGGTAGAACAAAATTTGTAACTAACTTCTGAATGAAATTTACCTTCATAGGGTTTTAATATCCTATTTTTTTCATTATATTGTTGCAGGTTTGGTTCTCATGAGTTGAAAAAACAGTTCCTTGTACCAACTGTAGCTGGTGATTTTGTGGCTTGCCTGGGAGTCAGTGAAGTTGGAGCTGGGTCAGATGTCGCAAGTAAGTTAACCTAGCAAATTGTCAGTTTTAGACAGTCTGATGTTTTAATGGAAAGAATCTGTTTTTCCTGACCCTTCACTTTTCCCCCATCCTTTGTAAGAAACAAAAGGAAGGAAAGTCTGGTGTGGTGAGGGCAAAAAGTAACATTCCAGGAATATAACACATCCTTCTCATGCATCCAAAAGCAATCAATTTTATCATATTTGTCAGGTGAATAAAGGGAGTAACCTTGTATAGGCTGAGCACAACAGATTAATGCAGCTTTTATGCTGGCTCCAATTTTCTTCTAGTGCTGTCCTGCTCTGTCCAGGCTCACTGCTGGCAGGAGCACTCCAGCACCTCATCAGCTGCACAGCCACCTCCAGTAGTGCAGCTCTGACAGGGAACATGACCTGTTCAGCTGCCTTGACAAAGACCTTTCCACTGAAGGGGGGAAAACTACAGAGCCTCTCTGTTCTGAAAATGACGGCATCACTTTTGGAATGATTTCCTCTTGTTCATCCTTACTTCACCTCAGCCCCTTCTGTCATTCCTGTGAAGCAAAAGTATCTCTCAATTAGTGATTGCTTTATTTAGAGCTAATGAAGGATTTGCAATGTCAAATCTATTATCTTTATGATTTAGTTACTTTGCATGCAACTTTTTTTCTTGGTTTAGCGCAAGAATATGTTTACAAACCAGGACAAATGAAACTATTATTCTGAGGTGCCTGAGGCAGTCGAAAATTTGAAAAATTAAATTAAAACAGATATGGCTGAAAAAGAAAAGATGTCTCCTCTGATGATGAATCGCGGACTTCATGGAAAAGGGAATGATAAGTGATGACTTTTAGAGGTTTAGTTGTTGGACAGAGCATGGCCAAGTTGACCACATTGTGTTCTTACAAATTACTGAGACATCTTCCCACAGACAAACTTGCCAAGTATGACAGAGATTTTTTATCTAAGCACTCCTATATCCACCTCTGTCACCAAATTCCTGCTGTTTTTTCAAGGCAAATAGATAAACATCCAGTGCTCAAGCAAGGTTGCAGCAGGTAGATTTCAAGAACATTAATACGGATAATGAAATAATGGGACTAAATCTTCCTGCATATTTTATTGCTGTTTTCCTTTCTGGCTTAATTGAGTTTATTCCTAAGAATAATTCCATAATTTTAGTAGATGTGTTTATTAAATAGTACTTATTAATAATACTTATTAATTATAAATAATAAATAGAAAAATATTGAATTTCAATATAATTTAAACTACATTATTTCTTGTTATAATGTAAATATTATTAAGAATTAAATAATAAATCTTATAATAGCACTTAATAATTTATTAAGTAAATTTTGAAGTAATTATAAATTTGAATTTTGCTAATGTAAAAAATACAACATCATTTATTTTAATAAATGCCTCTCTGTTTTAATTAGATGACTATCTAATTTTAGAAAATTCCAAATAAAAATTTAATTTTTTGGATGCAGTGTTCCAGATAATAAATAATGGAAATATTCCTTCAACATCATCTTGTTTATCATCTAGTTAAAGTCGTATGATACACTTAGATGAATGCAGTTAAAAACCAATTTGGAATCAAAGAGGATTATCTGCTGAACCTGTGCTGCAGCTTGGAGACAGGATGAAATGAAAATACTCTTCCCCCTGTCCTGGAAGATTTATCCCTGATATAAATGCCAAATCCAGCTTACATTGCTTCTGAAGGGCAATTAAATGAGCAACAATAGCTTGTGTTCTGAGTTGCACCATTTTGCACCATCTCCAGATGGCCCAGCTGTAAACAGACTGAGGTGTGTGAAACTGCACTTGGTGCTTCCTTTTGTTGCTGATGCTATTGGGATGTTTGTCTCCCTAAGAGAAGTGAAGGGCCATGGCTGCTGTTCACATGTGAAGATTGGGGATGTGCTTCTGCCATGTGAGCCAGTATATTTTAACCTGAAGAATGACACAGAATAAGGTATCTCTAACATTTTTTCCTGCAGTTCCAAAATAACTGAAGGTGATCTGAACACAGAAAACAGAAACAATGTTTACATGAGAACTGAAATGTGCCTCAAACTAACTTATTCAGAATTCAGGAGAACAAGAAGGACTGTGTATATTAGTCTAATACAAGATTCATGTCAATTTGAAGGAACACCTTCAAGTCTGCTTTCAAGTGTAGTTGTTCTATATTGTCCATAGTAGCGACCATGTGCACCAAAACTAGCACAGAATTGGCTTGAGAAGAAAAACAGGGCAGTACAGATGGTACAAAAAGTGTCTTTAGTTTCAGGATTCTGTTACTACAAAGCATAAACATTTGTGTCAGTTTGAATGACACTGTCTCATTCTATCTCACTCCAATTCCACAATTATAGAATGTAGTCTGTGAGTGTATATAAGAACACATCGTGGAAAACACGTCCTCTTTCCTCAAGTTATGTTCAGGTATCTGCAGCTATTAACACTGTTCATGTCTACCTCTTCAACATAAATATCTTGCTCTGTTTTGTCTCTGTGGAATCCAGCCTTTCTGCTTTTCTGGACTGAGGTTGTCTTTTCTGAGCATAAAACCTCAGAATTTCACATGGTGTCTGTAAAGGCACAAATACATTTCCAACCCTGGTATAAGTATTACTCTCCAATACGTTGTTACACAACAGCTTGCAGACTTGTGAATCCTGTGATTAACTGTGGATCATCCTCATTACCAGTTTGCTATTGAAACATGGCAGGATTTGGTAATCACTTTTGCTACATTGTGTCTGAGTACTTGTACTTGCCAGGTTGAATTTGAAAACTCGAGATCATTCCTTTCTTGCTGGGCCATACTTCAGTTGTTTGTTTTGGTGATGTCTCCAAAGTTTGTGTCACAGACAAATTTAATTAGTGTATTCCTGTCCTTTTAAAGATCATTAATGCAAATATTCAGTAGGTTTTGTCCAGAGGCTGATATCGAGGGAGGGGCTTAACTAGTACTCTCCCTGCGCATCAGAACTTCTTCTTTTAATGTAACCTGATGCAATTTCTGCTTTGCTGAGTTCCTTATGCACATTTCCACTTTTGTCCTAATTCTTCTATTTTCAAATTTTAATTCAGAGTTACCTAGTAGTGTTAATTTCACTTGCTTGGGTCCAATAGGATTTTTCTCTAGAAAATCCTATTTCATAATAAATCAGGTTGGGTTTAAATAAGATACCATGGGCAAATTGAATTCTCTTTTATTTCCAAATGTATTTTGAGGCTGTGCAGATTGCTAAAACCAGAAGCCTCTGTTTTCACTAATTTCAATCTTTCTTGTAGGTGTTTTGCTTTGTCAGTCATATTTGAATCTGTCTGTAGTCTCCTGTGAAATATTTCTTTTTCTGAAGTGTCCTCTATATGTCTCATTTTTTTCCCATCCTCTTTTCATTTCTGTGGCTGAAACAGTTTTGTTTGCCACCACAGTCTTCTTTGATTTTGTTGGTTTTCATCTGCAAGATTTAACTTAGTTCAACTTATTGAGTACTTATATTCTAACCTCGAAGTTGTAGCTTACTTTCATGATTAATCTTGTTCATTTCCTGAAAGTAATTTCCTGTTTTTTTGAAGTGATTTTTCATTCAGTTAGAGTTGAAGGTATTTCTTTAAAGTTTTGGGTTGGGGTTTTTTTCCTGTGCTGATGATGTAAATTTCAGATATGTGTTCTTCATATTTTACTTTAAGGATGTGTGTTGTCTATCTTTGACTGTAATACTAACCTTAAAAGTTGAAGCCAACCTTACCTTTAGTCAGATCTATTTAAGTGCGTGGCTGGACTTGAGTGCAGTAGAGAAGAAAACTGAGGCTTGAGTACGTGTGATTTGAACAGTGGTGTCACCAGCCCTGGCTGCTTCTATGGCATCAGCTGTATTATTCACCTCCGGTGATGCCTTGTGCACTTTCCTAGAAGGGCTTCTCAGAGAATGCTGTGTAAGAGGTTGTGAGAGTCAGTGGTATGTGCCTGCAAAAATGGGTTATGGAGCACCCACTGAAGTAGCCTTTTCCCAGAGATATGCTCTGTCAGGGAAAATAATTTGTCAAATATTCCAAATTATCTTCATAGCCATATTCCTGAGTCCACTTGACCATAGTAAATTGTTAAGTAGGTTTTCAAAGCCTACTATATTTTAAACATATTATATATTATATATTGATTTGATAATCTTTATTGATAATCTCTAACTAAAGAGAATAAATTCTTCACAAGATCATTTAAAATAGTTGTTTCTCAAGGGTTTGAAGCAAACTGTGAACAATTGAATCTGGAGTACTTGAACATTCTCATTAGTAAGGCATTTGTTCTTTAATCTGTTTTGGGTGGTTAGGCCCCTGTGACGCCATGCCTGCAAGAACTATTTACATTTGTGGTAACACCACAGTGCTCATTGTTCCTTTGCAGACCTTCTATGGGACTTCTATCTAATCTCTTCAGTGGCTGTTCCACAACAAAGGGATGTGTGATGTAAATCACTGTGTATGCTCCCATCCTTGTCACACCATTTCAGTACAGTCGTATTTCTTATTCCAGCTCTTGTGTGTCTTTCATTTATTATTTAGTCTCCATGTATATGAGTGTCCAATGTCTGTGTCCATGTATTGTGAGTGCCGGTACTTTAGATTACTTAAGCTTCTTGGCATTCATTATTATACAGATTTCATATTGAGTCCCTTGGACAGCTTTGCCACAGTCTTTTTACTGGATTAATTCCTCTGTGTCTGCTAGTTTTATCCACATGATTACCGTCTCCTTCCCTTGCTTACATTCCTTTAGCCATAGCTATATCCCATACTTTCTTATTTTATACCTTATATAATTTTCTCCCATCATTTTTCTCCTGTGCCTTCATTAACAAGAAAAAATTTTAGCCATGCTGACCTCAGTCCCAGTTTATCTCCTAAATGAAGATCAGATACTTGGGTTTGCTTTTGGTTTATGTTTAGAGCCCTAGGGAAGAATGTGCATGTGCAGACTGAGGTGATTGTGTATGAAAGTGTAACCAGATGACTTAAACTGCCCACTCCACTTGGTGTCTGACTCCTACCCTTCAAGTCTACGATCCCCCTTCAGTGGATGGTCTCTTTTGGATTTCATAGTCTTGTTAGATTCACAAGTGCAATTAGCAGTGTGGTAGGGTTCTCTTATACCATCACCTACTAACAGCTGGATATCTGTTGGAGAGTCTTCATCAACTGGGGGGGCTCTTGTCAAAGAAGTTCAATTGCAGGGGAAAGAAAGGAGCCCTTTGGAGACTCTGCTGGAGAATAAATAATAACTAATGATTCTCTCTGGCTGTCTGTTTCAGGTAGGGCTGTTTGCAGCATGATGTGAACTGTTGCAGATGAAAATAAAATTCTTTTTTGCCAGGGTGTATAAACAGCAGGTGTTTAGAACTCATTCAGACACTCAATGCATTAGACTTGGCCTTTAGTAGTTCACCAGCTTTGAACGAAATGCAGCACGGTGACCAAGAGCATGCAGGAAGTGCATGTTGGTTTATGTTTATGCATTAGCAGATACCAAGGCTTGTGTTTGTTTAAGTCATGACTCTGGAATTAATAGCCTCCTCAGGATTAAGGTACACAGTAAGAGAAACTCTAATACATCACCTCACAATGAGATGCTTCTCTCACAAGTTTCTGATCCCCACATTTACAAGGAAGTTTTCTGCTCTCATCCACTGGGATGAAGACTCCATCTAAAGGAAGGTGGGAGAAGTGGTCCTGTTTCCCTAGCTTGCCTTCCATGAGTTTTCCAGACTAGTTTGCCTTATGGCCTGGAAGGGTTATAGGACAGGGGAGTATGCGGGAGAGCCAAATAGTTTTCTGTCTGAGAGCAAGGGAGTGAGCCTGCCAGTCATAGCTGGACCGATGTACCCCTCCTTCACAAGAATAACCCTTCTTTTCCTGTGTTTTGAAATAGATATCAAGACAACGGCTGTGAGAAAGGGTGATGAATATGTCATAAATGGTGGTAAGATGTGGATTACGTCCGGCAGCCAGGCAGACTGGATGTGCCTCCTGGCAAACACCAGTGAAGGACCTCCCCATCAAAATAAATCTCTCATATGTCTGCCAATGAATCTACCTGGTAATAACTGAAAACTCTTTGTCTTCTCATTTGATTTTATTGGTATTCTTTATATGCCTAATACAAGAAGGAAAGGTGTTTAACTAAAAATATATTTAGAGAAGTTGTTCAGATACATTTTCATGGCAATGATTCATAACCATATGAAGGTAAAAGTATAAAGAGTTTAGAGATGAGATTTCAAACTTGGGAAATACCTCTCAAGCCCGGTGGGCTTGCTGAAGAGAGTTGCAGGCATATTCAGAGTGTTTCATGTCTGTGCTGTGCAAAGGGATCCTTTCACCAGGGCACTATTACCAGTTAAATTATAAAAATAGTCTAAGAGTTAAATGTGGGCTGGAATGAAAAATTCAAATATCCTGGAAGTAGGGACTTGGTTTTGAATAAGACTAGCAATTTAGGTGGAGACATGGAAGAAATACTTCCTGAGCTAAGGCTACCAGTTTCCATGGTACAGCCACACAGTGTCTGTTCCTGAGTGCTCTGCAGACCTTGCAGAATGCACGAATGCTATATGCATAAAGAACATCATCCAGAGAGGATGCAGTTAAGATTGCACTGATGGGGATCTTCTGCAGTTTTGACACCTGTTCAAAAGTTTTTAAACCTTTTCAATTTTGACTCATTTTTATATTTAAAAATATACAACATATTAATTTATGGTAATATACTATATAATACATAGTATATTTAATACTTAATTTTTAAAATTAATGTTTCTTTTATGCAAACAAACAGTTTAATGCAATTTAATAGTCATTAAATCTAGAATAATGTATATGAAAGTATTTATATATAAGATATTTATACTCAAGGCCCTTTTGTTCATTCAATTCAGAGTATTTTACACACAAAGTATGTTTCATTATTGGCATTTCACATGTAGGAGCACCACCATAGCAGTGAAGGGAATGTCTCTATGTTCACTGAGTGGATTAGACTGAGAACAAAACCCAGGTCTCCAGTGTTGCAGAAGAGGATGGTGAGAGCTTCTTAAGGGAGTGTTTTTTAAGTGAATTTAAGCGTGGAGTAAGTCAAGCAAGTGAGTTGCCTTGAGAATCAAGCAGTTTCTTAGTGAACTGTGAGCTTCTACTACCTCTGCTCATGCAAGACAGGCTTTGAATGGGAGCTCGTGGAAGACAGACCTGAGCTGCTTCACTAGTTGTGAACTTCATCCTTATTGAGAAGTGATGAGCAATCATGTAACTCACATCCAGAATTGCTCTGAATTTCCCTTATCAGCCATCTGATGATAAATGAATGAAGTCCTTGTGATTTTTCATGGATGGGTCAGAATGCAAATGCAGTACTTCTTCTCTGAGATCAGTCTTCCTAAAACAACAAAGCAGCTGACCCAGAGTTGGTGGCAGATAAAATACATAGAAATTGACTTAGAGGTTTTCAGCTATTAGCTTATTCCAAAAAGGCACAAGTTGTCTAGAAAAGGGGAGATGTTAGATCTCACAGCCTACACACAGACCTTCTTTACCTGCATTAAATAGATTTAGAGTAGAAAAATTGTCTGAGACACCTTATTCTGATCTGCAGAAGTGTAGAATTCCTCCTAGGAACAAAATTTGTGCTCCTCAAAATGCATGTGTTTTAATTCTTCTGTGATGATACACATATTTATCTCCAAAGGGGTCACAGTACCAAGATTGGTGACCTTTTGAAATGAGGTATTAAGACTGTTCATTGTGCTCTGTGGGTGAGTCATATCAGAAGTGAGATTTTTCAGGAAGCTTCATCTGGTTTGATACATCCTAAGGATGTCTGTCTGCTAAAGATTGTGCTCCATGGAGGGCAGCAGACCAAGGCTGTACGGGAAGTGTCTGGAGGACATCACAGAATGATGCACCCTCAAACGTCTGTGGATATATGTGTCAAAGCTCAAAAACAACTGCAATGGAGAGCAAATGTGTTATATCTGACTCACCTCTGCAGGCACCAGCCTGTATGGCTGGGTAAGGAAGGATCTGTGGTGTATTTTTGCTAAAAATCTAAGTTGCTTTGTATTTATATCATGTGGTGGGGGAAAAAAAAGAGAGAAAAAAATTCCAAGTCTGAAAATGAATTATTACTTTCAACAATAGGTAGTTTATTGGATAGACAAAGTAGGATTTGCTTCTTCTAATTTTAGGTATATATACTCTCTAATCTGGGCTGAAGCAAATCATGGTCTAGATTTGACAGACACTGCTGAATACATTTCTCATAAAAGAAGTTTGGATAACAGCACCATGGATCCACAACAGATATCCAAATTTGGTGAATACTCCTCATGCAATAACAATGTCTTTAAAATGCAGCTAAATTTTTCATATAATGAAAGAGAATCTAGCAAGGTGCAAAATGTCTGTGTATGAGGTATATAGACAAATGGCTTGCAGCTCTGATATAGTAACTGTTTTGTCCTCTGGTTTGTCCTCTGAGTCCTCAGATAGCTCTAGGGGAGATTGCAAGGAGGAGTTAATAAGGAGAAGAGCAACCATGAAAAGAGAACGAGTGTGTTTCTTGGATTGCAATTTAAAATGTCTGTTTCCATTTGTAATGGCACTAAATGGTGTCAGGAGAGAGCAACTGCCTTTTTCTCAAAATAGAATACAGGAAATAAAAGAGATTGTCAGAAGGCTGGAGGAATGGGAGAAAATGAAAAATCAAAGACACTTGAGAAGATCTGCCCAGGGAGAGAAATAGCAATCCATCTCAATGATCCTGGTGCAAGTAGCTCAAATGGCTCTGTTACAGTGATTTTAGTAAGACAGGTGCTTGGCCTTGTTAAATTCAGATTTGTGAGTTATTGTGTGTAATTTGTTTAATACAGACAAACACCAGGAGTTATCTGGGCCAGTAATTTCTGCTGCTGCTGGTAATTTTTCATTTATAGTACTCCTTAGGAAGAGAAGGAAGATAATTACATGAAGGGAGATTTTGATGCCCCCATAGTGGCCAAAGAGATGATTATGTATGATTGTCTTCCACGATGTAAAGCATGTGCTAGCCTCAGACGGGGCATCCCGTGTGACTGATACAGCTTGGTCTCCTTGTGGGTGAGAGCCATGAATTAAGAGCAAGTGAAACTGGTAGGGCATGATAAAGGGGGATGCTGCTGGACCCAGGAAAACTGAATGACAACCCAGTCTGGAAGAATTACAGGTAGGTATCATCAGCACATTTAGTTCACTAACCAAGCCTGTAAGAGCTTTCTTCAATAGTGGTTGTTGTATGTGGATTTGGGAAGTAAACAACAGGATTGATTTAGCAATATAATAATGAACTGGCAGCAGTTGTGCTTTCTTGAGAAGAGTCCTTTTAAACCACCCACTGACAAGAGCAGTAAGTGCATCTTCATATGGGTGAGGAGTAGTGATTGCATAAAGCCAGTTGGCTTTAGACCATGCGTGATCTCTGTAACTCTCAAAGAAACCAAATAGCAGTATTCCAATGGGAAACAATGTTCCAGATTTCATTTGGGCTTCTAAAGTGCTCAGTGTGTGGTTATTTAGCTCTGTTTTTAATACGGAAACAAACCACAAATGATCTTTTGGCTGACTGAGTACAAATTGCTGGATAATTTTCAATGCAAAAGTCAAGAATTTTTATACAGCTGTCCTGATTTTTCTCCTGCATTGATCATACATCAAAGCAAGTCTTTTTTATGCAAGCTGTTTACAGCTTGATTGGTGGAGAAAAAAACTTGAGTGGAACTTGTGGAAGTCCATGAACATTGTTCTCAGAGAAGTCTTTGCATTTGTAAATAATGTCAGTATTTTATCTCTGTGAAGAGATGAAAATTTCCATAACCTTATTTAGTGCAGCCAGAGAGAGTAAATTTGAAGGAAATGGCTGCCAACTTTGTCTGCCTACAAAACCAAAGTAATTTCCATATGTCTGAAGGCCTCCTCTGAGTAAAGGGTGAGATGTCTGTATTAGTTCAGAAAGAGATGTTTTCAGAAAGCTGTGAAAATAGCAAGATATGAACAAGGACAGAGGGACCAGAACAATCTGTGTGGTGACCAGCCAAGTTCTACTGAGCCATGCCAGAGAGTAGTGGAGGATTGAAAAATAATAATGAGGAAAATAACAACAGAATACTTTCTCATCACAAAGCTGGTTGGAATGACATGGACATGAGTAGTAAAAAGCTTTGGTTTTCTGGCAAAGATACATATGCTGAGTTGGAGGACTGTTTTGCTACACATACAGACTTGTCAGATGTAATTAACGTGTTATGCACAAATCCTTGTGCCTGGTTGTTGTCCTCCTTTTGCTTTTGAAACATTCTTGACTTTCACCCTGAATATTTGAATTAGCTCCAGATCAACAGGGAGATAAAAGCTGAAGACAGGAGAAATGCCATGGGAAAACAGTAGGTGCCTCATTGCACAGGGATAAGCCATGCTTGCATCTGAACAACAGCAGGGAAGAACTTGTAGCTATGGAAAACAAACCATGGGAAGGAGTCCTGCCCCGGGTGACGAGGTGGCTGAACCCTCATGTGGCCAGACCTGAATGAACCAGGTTCATCTTCAACAGACCAGTGCACGTGGGGTCAGAGTCAGTGCTGTGTAGAGAGGTCTCTGGGGAAGCAAACCCTCCTCACAGACATATACACATGGAAACCGAGAGTGATCACTGTACCAGAAAAAATCAGCATAGGCTAGGTAGGGGAGGATAAATGAAGAAGAGAGGGAAGGAAGAGAATTTCCAGGAGGAGAAAGACTCTTAGCTGCAGCTTAAAATGTAGCTCTGTTTCTGTCCTTACTGAATATTTGTGTACTGTTTCACAGCAGTGCAGGCACTTGGCAAATACTGCCAAATTGAATTTCACCATTTTATTGTAACTCTAGATAAAAATCAAACATAAACAAATAAATATTGCGTTGTTTGAAGACCTGTGTGGAGTATTATGACTAGTAAATATTTATTATTTGGGGATATAATAAAAAGTGGGACTTTTACATTTAAAGTTTATGATTTGCTGGTTTAATAAAATGGAAAAATCTTTTAAAATAGGATTTGGGCCATTTTACTCCAGAATACTGTTACGTTTTTCCTTAAGGTAGGTTTCACTGTTGTCTTGGAACATACATTCACATCTGCAGACTTTTCTTTCTGAAAACAGTGTATTTGTTCATAGTGCTTGTATTTTTTGTGGTCTTTCTCATACACCTTTCTCTTCAGGCATTCATATTGCTAAAAAGATAGACAAACTGGGTATGAGGTCATCGGACACAGCTCAGATCTTCTTTGAAGACGTAAGGGTCCCCTGCAAGAACCTCATCGGTGAGGAAGGAAAGGGTTTCATGTACCAGATGTTGCAATTCCAAGAAGAGCGGCTGTGGGGAGTAGCCAGTGGTAAGTCATCGTTCGTGCTTCTGCAGCCAGGCAGGGACAGAGGGGTCACTCTTCGCATGACTAACAGCACTTTTCTCTTCTTGTAAGTTGCGATGACCTTTTAGGATCTGTTTTTGAAATCCATCATAGCCTGGATACAGACGACATTCCCTTTCTGTAGAAAAATTCCTTTATCTGTACAAAAACCTGAAGCTGAAAATATTTTGTGAGCCATTGCAGAGGCTCTTTATTGCCTTGTTTCTTTTTCTGGTTTCTACTCTGCTGATAAGAAAATATGGCATCATGTTATGTCTATTACAAATGTAGTGCAAAGGCTATCAAAATATCAGCATGAAATAGAAGGATGGTGACTTTTCCTGTAGTTTCCTTTGTGTTATGATGCTGACCATGGATTTTAGAAAATTATATTATTGTCTTTGTAAAGTTAAGTGACTCTTGCAGGATGTCAGAGCTTTGTTTTGCAAATGTGTTTTACCTCTGTACACTTTGGACATAAGTGGTACATTCCTTTCCCTGAAGTTATATTGTTACAGAGTTTATGTTACTCAGAGCTCAGGCTGTACTCAAATCTATGTATTTGGGTTATATGGATTCTGGATATTCCAGGAAACGAGATCCAAGTCTGGATTGTCTGCTTTCAGCCTGCAAACTTTCTCCTTACCCCTCAGTGTTTGGTTCTTCAAGTTAAATATAATGTGGTTCACTGTAAGAAGCTTGGTCCTCTTTAGATTCCAGGGTTGTCTAAATAATGCCACTGCATTCATGCTCCTGTGCATTCCCTGTCTGTCACTGTCTGTGTGTGACTGGGGAATTGAGCATTCTAAGAAGTGGTGTTTTGATTCAGTGAACAAATAAAAAAAGCACTCACTGTTTTGGGTTCATCACAGACCAAATATTTTGGAGTTCAAATGCCTTTAAAAAAATCGTTTATTGAGACAAAGTTCTTAGCTCAGCCTGAGATAAATAGTACATGTGAGAGTAGTTTTAGTAAGGAAAGGAGGTTACACTTGCCAAGGATGTCACCGCAGACTCAGGCAAGCAGGAGTTGTGATCCTACCACTGTTTCTGCTTTAATTGAGGTGTATACAGACTGCAAGGATGTGCCTTGTGCATTTTTATGCTCAGTTTGAAGTCTAAATTAAACAAACCATAAGAAGCTCTGGGCTGCAGTGAGACTCCCTAGGCAGCAGAGTAGCCGGCAGCATTAGTCATGCTCCAGGCAAAGTGACGCGCACTGACAGCATCAATACACAAAGCCTGGCAGGTTAGATCACTCCTGCTAAAACCACGGGCAGCGTGGTACTGTCCAGTCTTGCACAACTGCCTGGCTGTCACTGTGCTCTGCCAGGAACTGGAACACCAGGTTTCAATTCCTTTTTTTGTCCAAAACAACGCGGCAGGAGCAGGTGAACCCTTGCCCTGGATGAGCAGCCTGGGAAGGGCATCTCTCCTTGCCTGCTACAGCCAGGCAGGGGCCAGCAGGGAGGAAGAGTCTAGGAGCTCACCAAGGAGAGGGAGCTGCCTTCTGCAGTGGCTGCTGTGTAAACCTTGCCGGACCCCTTGGGTTTGCTTTTTTTCAACTATCTGATATAAAATGCATTAAAGCACTGGCAGCAGGGACAAGACCCATGGTTTGGGCCAAGCTGCAAACTTCACCAATTGTGGTAAACAAGAACAAGAGTAACCAGTGTTCAGAAGGGAGCCCAGTACTCGATGGGTGCAGTTTGTTGTATCACAGCCTCTAGAGGTGTTATCTTCGAGTCCTGCAAATACTTTCACATTCATTCAACCATGACTGCTCAGTTGAAGGCTCAGATATGCGAAACTATGTACATGCCTTCAGTAGTTTTGTGATTAGGTCTGCATGTTTAATCCTGGTCTTCACTTCTGCCCCTCAGTAGGACATTTCTGTTCCTTCCCAGTTCATGACTGTGACATTGAAAATCATCAGTCTGCTTTTAAATGCTTTAGGGACCAGTCCTGGGATCCTCACTTTCACTGCTTCCTTTAACTTGGAAAACTCAGTTGACTTGTCTGTTTTTCCTTTTTGGGTGTTATTTTGTTGTGTTTAGGTTTTTTTGTTCTGTTTTTCTTTGTTTGGTGGGGGAATTTTTGTTTTTTTAGTTTCAAGTATCACATGGTCTAGACTTCTTTTTGTTTATTAATTATCTTCTTTGTGACCAGTATCTTTCTTCACTTGTTTTGTTTGGTTTTTTTTTTCCCTTTTAAAATCTATTTTCAGTCAAACAGGTTTAAAATACAAATGGAAAACTAACTTCCTGGAATTGCAAAATTTGGTCCCAGGCATGGTCTCTTCTTCTGAGTGACATATCGTCAAAGGCATTGGTCAAAGTCGCTGTGTTTCTTGCTTCATTGAAAGAAAAAAGGTGCCACGTGTCACCTGTGTTGTGACACTTGGTAAACACTGTCTGTTTGAGGGCCTGTTGCACTGATCACAGGAAAAGAATGTTGCTATGGCAAAAAAAAGCAAACAGTTGTCTTGTGAATTGCTTAACTCAGAGACAAAGAGGGAGTTCAGTGTGCATGTGAGAGCAGAATAGCACTTTTCTAATAAATTCTATTTGCTCCTGCAACTTCAGTTTTATGAGCACCATTGAGTCATGGCCAGTAAGCAGGATGACAGATCCTTTTGCATAGGCAACACACGTCCTTAAGAATCAGATTGCTCAGCTTAGAGTTCACTGTACATTTCATTAGGGAGTGATCAGTCACAACATAGAAAAAACTTATTAATTTCCTTTTCTTTTGAGAGGAAACACAGCAACTAGACAAAGTGTCTTTACAGTGAACAGAAATTTCAAGTGTAATAATTACATTGGATGGAGTTACGAGGAAAAGATTATTCTGCATTTGGCAACTTCAAGTGCTTTCACAATTCTCAGCTGTGTGGTAGTCCATACGTTCCTTAGGCTGCCCTAGCGTGACATTTCCTGCATATGCTGTCAGTTGAAACCCATGGGGCTAAGTTTGTCTGAGGATGTGGGGAACATTGTATAGGAAAAGGAAACAAATACACAGAAAAAGAGGGAGGTTCCCTATTATGAATGGCATTTCTCTGAATTCCTATGACTGGGAAAGTGCTGTCTGCTGTTATCTTGTTGAACATGGCTGGTGGCTGTCATGGTATTCATGATGTGCTGCGTTTTGGTGCTGTTTGCTACACAGCCAGGCTTTGCCATGTTAGAGCTGTGCTCAGAGCTCTGAGCACCTGTTGTCAGCATCACAGAATGGTTTGGGAAGGGACCTTCAAAGTTCATCACGTCCAACCCCTCTACCATGGGCAGGGACACCTTTCACTAAACCAGGTTGCTCAAAGCCTATCCATCCTGGCCTTGAACATGTCCAGGGAATGGATGTGTCTTGGGGCACCCACAACTTCTCTGGACAACATGTTCCAGTGTCTCACCACTCTCATAAGGAATTTCTTAGCATTGTAAAATGATAGAATGGTTTGGGTTGGAAGAAACCCTGAAGATCATGTAGTTCCAGTTCCAAAACATTCTTCCTTTTGTTCAATCTAAATCTACATTCTTTGAATTTAAAACCAGTCCCCCTTGTCCTGATACTACAGGGTCCAGTAAAAACTCTGTCCCCATCTTTCTTATAAGTTCCCTGTATATATCAAAAGTCAGCAATAAGGCCTCCCCAGAGCCTGCACTGCTCCAGGCTGAACAACCCCAACACTCTTAGCCTGTCCTCATAAGAGAGGTGCTCCAGCCCTTTAATCTTCTTCAGGACCCTCCTCTGGACCTGCTGCAACAGATCAGTGGCTGTTTTGTATTGTGGGCTCCAGAGCTGGATGCAGTACTCCAGACGGGGTCTCAGGAGAATAGAGGGAGAGAATCATGACCCTTGACGTGATGGCCTCTTTTGAAGCAGCCCAGGACAGTCCTTAGATTTCCTCTGTTTGTTTCTGTGTGCAAGTGACAGTTCCTGAAATAAGAAGAAGGGCAGCAAAGGAAACAGGAGGATGGATCAGCAAGGGCAGGAAGGAGGCAGTGAATTGGAGAGGTGGACACTATAAGAGCAGTTTTCCCAGAACCCCAGTCTGAGCTATGATGTCTGATGACAGCTTGAGCAGAGTATGGACAAAGTCCCTTCATGATCTTTAGACCTTTTGCAAGCAGGACCTAAACAGTTTCTGTCCTTTCTTCCCGGCTGATCTTGCCCCTGCCTCCTCTTTGCTGTTTCCCATCCCCTCTTTCCCTGGTGCTGGATGCTGGGGACCACACAAGCCGTGCTGGAGCACCTTGCAGTGACAGATCAACACAAGATTAATCCCTTGTCTTTATCCCTTCCACCTCCCTTCTACTCTCCTAGCATTGGCATGTACTGTTTTGTTTCCCACCCAGGAGCTCAGACTGCACAGTATTCTTCCCAGATTTCAGTCAGAGGGAAAGGGACAAGTGGTGCCTGGATACTCCTTCCTCTTTCCTTACATTTCTCAAGCTGGAGACCATAGACATACAAGTAAAAAAGCTGTTTGTGTTATACATGCTACAGTGTTGTGTGATATTGTCCTTTGGAAGGACAGTATTTCTATTCAAGAGATGTTCCTGAAAACAGAAATTTATTTTCCTGTCCAGAAAGCTAGCATTTGAGTGACAACATAGTATGTTAACACAAGAAATGAGGACATTACTGTATATGCTTTTCTGAAAAAAATAAGCATTGAGGTTAGTTGTATGAGAAAGTTGTATGAGAAAGCAGGGGAAGATATTTAGGTAATGAGAAAAGCTGATCACCCTATGGAGTGTGGAGACATCATGTGAAAAATGGTGCTCTGTGGAAGTGATGGTGAATGATCATGGCAGGGGGAATTAGTGGGATGCAGAGTCTACACAGGATAGCAGTTCAGAGATTAAATTTAAATAGCAGTGATCTTGAAAACAAAGCAAAAATGTACGTGGAGCCACACCAGGCTCCTGCAAGGGACTATCATGTGAGTAACAGGCAGGTAGGAAAAGGGATTTCATACTAGTCCAAGGCTTAGGTTTATATTGCATTTCACATTCAGAGTTTTGTGGTTTAGACTTTAAATGCAAATGGATGTGGATATGCGTATTTTGGAAAAGAAAATGTGACCCTTCTCATACAGATAGATTTGTGAAATCATGCCCTGCTGCTTGTCATAGCAACATGAGTCCATATTTGCCAAACAAAATTCTCCACACATTCTGTATCTGCTGTTATCCCAGCTACACTGCAAGGGACTGATAGCTTAGTCATTCACTTCAAGGCTGGTTTGCCTTGGAAGAGAAACTTTTCCCTTTTTTTTCTTGTATAAAATGAGATATGTCTCAGTTTTCACAAAAAGCAGCAGCAAACTAGCTCTGCTTTAAAGCAATATCTGCTGCCTCTCTCACCTGTTTTACAGCAGTACCCTATTTTCATTCTGTTTTCCATTAGGAGAATTATTTAATGTTTTTTTTAAAGTGGGTGTGAATTTTTTCTTCTCTATGCTGGGATCACGGAACGCAGACATAATAAGCAGTCTATTTGTGTTCCTTGATCTCAGAATAGGTTTCTGCCTTCTCCCTGAAGGCTTCCATCAATTTACATTTCTACAGCCTTCCTCACCAAGCACACTACACTGTCTGCCTTCAGATTTTTTTTTCCAGGATTTTAACAAACCTTCAGGACACAGGTAGCATGGAAAGTAGGAGTTGCCACAAGCTTTTGCTAGGGCCCTAAATGAGACACTAAGCATAAAGTTTACCTCATCATGTTGGTACTGCTTTTTATGACTCTCCCCCTTTCCTACCCACTTCTCTTCCCTCTCTTCCAGGTTTTGGCAGTTTAGGGCTCAAGTGAGATAGATGTCTTCAAGGTACAAGGAAGTACCAGACTCTTCTCAGAGCTGAAGCTGCATCCCACACTGGGTGTACAGAACAATTTCCTTTTAAAACTAATGTGTTGGCTGTACAACGTGAAAAACCCTTCTCTTTCAATAGGAAGCTAAACAGATCTGGCTAAAATGATGTGTTCTGTGCTTTGTTTCTTCCAGCCCTGACACCAATGGAAATGATTATACAAGAAACTATTGACTACACACGGCAGCGGAAGGTGTTTGGCCAGCCTGTCCTGCACAACCAAACCGTGCATTTCCGCCTGGCCGAGCTGGCAACCGAAGTGGAGCTGCTGCGCTCGCTGCTGCACCGCGCCGTGGGTGAGCTCCCTCGTCGGCTTCCCAGATGTGAAAGAACTTTGTCAGGCTAAAGGAACATGGGGAGGTGACTTCCAAAGTGACTGCTTTTTTATCTCTTCTTTTTTTATTAGCTCTCTATGTAGAAGGCAACAATGTGACAAAATTGGCTTCCATGGCTAAGCTAAAGTCAGGTCGTCTGGCCCGTGAAGTGACTGACAACTGTCTCCAGTTTTGGGGAGGAATGGGATTCACCAGTGAAGTTCTCGTGAGCAGGCTTTACAGGTAAGGGAGTGATGAAAATACAAAGTGGCTTTAACTGAAATTTAGCCTCTTAAATGTCCTGTTAAGCAATCACCTACTTGAAAAGAGCACCGGCTTCTCACCAGTGTGAATGGTCTTGTTCCACTTCATAGCATGTTACTGAAGTGGGCTGTGGATGAAAGGACACCCAGTGCAATTAACTTTGGGTAGACGTGTGTCGGAACTTACTATTCTTTTGCCAAATCTTGGCTTTGCATTACAGTTGTGAAGTTTGAACTGCCCACAGGTTAGCTTCAACGTCAAATGAAAGAGGAAAACTCAGTATTTTCCATGGTGGTCCTCTGGTATCTGCCACAGAGTAGAAAAAAGGGTGGGAAAATTGAGCTACCAACCAGTGACTTTTTTATCTTTGCTTTTTGTTTGCTTGTAATTTTGATTACAAGAACAGAAATAAAACCAGAAGCTTTCTTCTGAAATGGATGAAAATCAGCTTTATCTTTTTCCCTGGACATGTGTGAAACTGGAGTTCCCCACTTGGCTTCTGCAGTAGTCTGTTCTGATAGCAGTCTCCACCCTTTTAGTCACACTAGATACCATGTGAGACATACAAGATATGTAATTGCTTCCAGAAAGTTGTTAGATCATTAAAATAGTACAGAGGCCTTTTTGTAAATTAATTGAAGTCCCTTCAAATTTTAGTCTCTGTCTACTTAGAGCAAAATTCTCATTAAGGAAACAGTTTTCTTGGTATCTGGCCTCAGTGTCTTGTATTCTGTAGAAGGACCAAAATTGACCTTGGATTCTCTTGCAGTAACAGCTTTCTGTTCAGCCCTTACATAGACAATATCTAATTCAAAGTTAGCCAAATCAGTGGTTCAGTTAGTTGAAAGTCTTGGTAAATGTGTCTGTGTAAAGTGAGAGCAGAACACTTGAGACAATCTGCAAAAAGCTTGTTTCTTCTTAGGTAGGCTGAGTTACTTTTTCCATTTTTAATAGCATTTTATGAACAGTAATGCCATTGCAGTAAGTCAAGGATCCTCAATATTTTTGACAAGTGGACTCCTGAAATTTTCTTAAAAAGGTACAGACTGCATTATGATGGTGGTTTTGAGTCAGCTGTCAATATGATGGTTTTCCTTAGTAATTTTTTTCACAGCTTTATTTTAACAAGTAATGGTCACTGCTGATAGAGATGTTAAGAGCTACTGCAGTAGGAAATCTGAATAAAATTAATCCCTGTCTTTGCAGCACTTAGTGTAAATTATGTAGTCTGGACAGATTAACATGTACGTGCTTTTACATAGTTTTGTTTAAGATTTCCTAGCCCAGTATAGTAGTGCTAACTGTGAGCAGGGCTTTTCTGTGTGGATTCCAGAGTGATTTCCAAGTACAACACAGTCACATTTTTCCTTAGAAGAAATCCAGAGTGTTTCCTGTTGGCATACACAGTCAGCTGGCTAAAGAAATGTATCTTTCTGCTTCTAAAATAAATACTATTATAAATGAGGGTAAAGACATTGTGATATTTATACTCTGAAATTTTCTATGAATCAGTAAAATTCCACCATTGAGTAACCAAAGATCCAGGAGGAAGGGACAAGGAGAGTTTTACCTAAATAAACAATTACACGTTCAAGATAGAATCTTGTTAATCTGTAACAATAAGCAAAGCAGCAACTTCCCTAAAGCCCTTCTTTTTAGTACAGCAGTCTGAGTAACCATTCACGTCACTGTGATGTTTGTCCAGTAGCAGCAGTATAATTGCACAGCAGGACATCTAGTCCTCGTGTTCAAACATTTTTGTAGCATAATCTTTATGAAGTTCCCGAAGAGATGCAGGTTAGTCTTTGACACACCAGGCTGTTACTCACTCCTCAAAGAACATACAGCACAATGCATAGTTAGTGCATGAAGTCTCTGAATTTTAGTTATTACAGTCAGTTAGAGATCATAAACAGAAACAGCACAAAACTGTTTGCCAACTTATTTTATCCATATCTGTCATTTAATCAGTAACATTTTAAACTTTGTAGAATGACTGGCATTCCTTAATTCCTATTCTGTAGAAAGCATGAAGAGAGCTGCTTCACCATGTAGGTGTCTATACTGGGTTGATTTTATATATATAAAGGTCTCACTTGTACAGATTCTAATAAGAATAGGTTAAAAAAAAAACAAAACAAACAAACAAACAAACAAAAAAACAAAACAAAACCAAAAACGAAACAACAAAAAAAAAATCTTAGAGCCCAAATATCAAAAGGTTTCATAGAAAAATGCAAGCCATATAAAACCCATAAAGAATAGACTTTCCAAACTGTACCCTAATGGTAGGATTCTGGAGAAGGAAGCACAAGCCTGGAGTCATGCTTATTTTTATGTCCTCTGTCTAAAAGGCCTAAAAGACATCGTGACTTGGCAAAAACCTATTATTGAAGAAGCCCATCATCTATATGAAAAACCCAGGTTATGAGAGATAGAGGAAAGAAACCTTTTAGTATCAAGTTAACTGCAATTTTTCAGATTTCCTGTGTTTTAAAGAATTTCAGGTTGTGATCAATATATTTTAATAGTAATTATGTGCGCTTCAATTGTTATAGGAAGTACTTATGCTGTCTTCTTAAAAGAATTTAGTTTGTTGGGTTTATTTTTAGTTAACATTGTTATTACCTGTTAAACATCATGTCTAACTGCTTCCAGTTCTTACAAGTTTTTCTCCTGTGGGCTGTGATGGGGAGAATGGTATAATTTCTTTACTTGCGACATTGAAAAAGACTCAAGAAAGCAGTAGTGAAAAATATTGACTACTCATGTGACATAGAAGTGTAAGTAGCATTGCAAATGCATAGGTGCAGAGGAAACACATTTTCATTTTTCTCCTCAAATGTCATGTAGTTATTGCAATATGAATGTCTATTTGTGATTGAGGATAGTTAAAAAAAAAACTTCTGTATAATTTTAAGGGATTTTTAAAAAAGTAATGTATTTCCATCTAGATTTTTTTTCCTTCGCATGTTTAAAAAGTTAGTTCAAATACTTCATTCAGTTTCATTTTTTATTTCATTGTTTATAGTCTTTCATTCTTTACAAAACATGTCTAAACTTGAGTGAGTCCAGACAACTGGGGAGTTTAATCAGTTTATTTCAATATAGTATAGTTGTACCAAACAAAATGAAACTTATCCATTTCTGCTGACAAAGACAATTTACTTTGAAGTCTGTAGCTAACTGCTGAGACAAGACTTAATACCAGTTCCCATCATCTGTGAAACAAAATCTGCAGTTTCCACCTTTTTCTGCAGAGGCTTTGAGACAGATGCCTGTCTGCCACTTTGACTTTTATGAATACCTTGAGAAGGAGTTTAGGAGATGAAGCGCATGACATCTACCTTTAAGACAGTGAATCAAGGCAGGTAACTGTACAGCGATGACTTTAAAGTAGAGCTATGCTCAACTCTCTGCTTTATGCTCAGAGCAGGCCAAGGTGATGCCCATTCCCTCATCTTGGCCTCAGAATGTCCCTGAGGGAGAAGGAACAGGGTCAGGGGAACTTGCAGGCACAGCTGTGGGTTTGAGCAGGCTGTGCCAGCCTGGTCAGAGGCCTGCTGCACTGGGTGGCACCAGCTCAAACTCTTCTCTCTAGAACAAAGCCTCCTTCAGATTCTGCTTAATTTAGACAGCCTGACTATGGAAGAAGTTACAAAATATTAGGCTTGAGGGTTCATCTTTTTTGGAGATAATTCTTGCCAGTAATAAAACCATAAAATGGTTAAAACCTGAAATCGTGAGTCATGAGAAAAAAAGGGTAAAGGTTTTGTAATGAAGTGCAGTTTGTGCTGAAAAGCAGCAGTGTATAGCTAGCCAGGGAAGCAGTGATGCTCTGAGCTATGCAGACCTTGGTAAGGTTTTTACCAACGGCCTTCTAACCAGGGAAGCGGAGAGCAGCATCTCTGAGGGACTGCTGCCATCATGCCAGGCTATTAGGGGAAACCAGGGCTTAAATCACCAAAACTCACTTTCTTCCCCCTGTCTGACTGGCACTGATCACTGCAAGAAAAAGAAAAAAAATTCTTAGTTTATTTTGGCAGGAAATTTGAAGTTTCATGAAGACACCTGCATCATAGATAGTGTAGCAGGCTCCTCTCAGCTTGTTTGGGAACAGGAAGTGCCTCAATCCAATTCCATATGGTTTTCCAGAGGAAAATGTAGCGTAGAGCAACTCCCAGAGCATACCCAGCTTCTCAGCTGTAGGTAATAAATGGTACTGGAAGAGACAACTGCAAACATGATGACATTTTACCAGGTTGAAGCTACAGACAGATTTAGTGTGCCATGAGCTGCATATAGCACATTACAAGATCTAAAAGTTTGCTTGTGCTACAAATGAGTACATGTCCCTGCTGGGGAAATCGCTCAGACTGGGATAAGGACTGGCCCTGATTTTCAGGAAAACTGGGACCAAAAGTTTTAGGGGCAGGGTAATAGACATGGCTTAGTTTGTGAAAAACAAGGTCCAAATGTCCCTCAGGGTGCAGAGGGGTCAACACCACCCAACAGAGGAATGTTAAACTGCAGACTATTTTGGATTAAACTATTCAGAAATACATTTTCAGGCTGTAAATTACAGGGTTCCTAATCATTAGAAGAACTTTGTTATCTCATAACCTTCAAATTAGGGTAGTCCAAGATTAAAGGGAGCTTGTTTTTTCTCCTTCAAGCAGTGCTTGACACATTTCTGAAGGCTGTATGACATGGCTTCTATAGAGATGGGAAACATGATTTGACAATGTGGAGGGCTTCTTTTTTTCCTGTTGCTACCTAACTAGAAGTTATTGCTTACCTGGATTGAGTTTGGTGGGTGGGAGGGGCTCCTCACCCTCCCTCCTAAGTGCATTTTTTTAACTTGACATTGAAGAATTTTTTGCTTTTATTCATTAAAACGTGGATTAATTTTTACCATTTATATCTCTTGATTTGGTTGAGTGAAGTCTTATAATCTACGGGAAGTATTTCAGACACATGGGATTTCCTGAATGTAAGGAAACTCTTCACAGGGAATATTTTAGAGGGATACAACACAATAGTTGGATTTCTCTCCTTCCTCAGGTTAACTCCCACTCTCTAAAGAAAAAAGCATCCAATGACATTCAACAAGTAGCTAGAGGTTTGGTCCCTCAAAATGAGACCTTTACAAACTGCCTGGTGTGCTGCAGGCTGGTTCCTCATGGTCCTCGGTTAGGGGGAAGCCACCCCAGGTTGGTGCTCACCTCAGCAGGGCTGCAGGTAGTTCAGGATGTGCTGCTGTCATGTGGCAACAAAATGGTGATGCAGAAATCAAAAGCAAAATTTACTGTGCCAGATCAAAAGCCTTTACAGCAGTAGCCTAACAATGTCCCTTACAAAAGCAATCTAATTCCAATATTTATATATAATGAAATATTTATGTGCTGTATTAATAATACAGCACATAAATATTCAAGAATGATGTAAGATAAACTATCAAACCATAAGCATACATTAAATAACTGATATAAAAGCTGACTTCACTATGTGCTCTTTCCCAGATTACTTACAGAGTTGCTGGCAGGATTGCTAATCCCATGGTCTCATCTTCTTATGATGAAAACGTTTCTTTCCCAGAAGAGGGCTGCTGGATTAAAATCATTTGTGTCTTTTGTCATCTTGATCCGCTTAAATTAGGGGAAAACCTTCTGTCTTGGCTCCCCAGAGGAGAGATCAGCATTAGTCACCTGGCTGTAGATTCTCTAAGAAATACTCCTTATCTCACCCATAGAGACAAAAATATAATTATCAGCAAATTTGTAAAGATATACACAAGCACAAAACATATGAAAGGTGTTTTGGTTTTTTGAGATGTGTCTTTATATGTGACAGCCTGACTTGTCTGTCACACACCACCAAAGCCAGATCTTACCACTGCCTATTTATAATTTCGTATGAACAAGCCCCATGTGTCCAGGATTCCTGCTGCAGAGAGAGGATTTCTATTGACATCACAGAGGAGTTCAGAGGATTAGTTACTTGCTGGTGCTACAGTGAAGATGCCAAATGCTGAGCACTGGCCGGGGCTTTCTGCAGCTTGACAAAGCAGACAGCACCACAGCACTAAGAACAAGCAACCTACCGCTGTTCCAGGTCTGCTGCCTTCAGGAAGGCCCATAAGAAGGTGGGGAATCTTCAGTTACTAAGTAGAGGTAGTTTGGAATCGTTCTGGTAGTTTTATTGGTGGTGTTTTTTCCTTCTCCCCTGAGGTAAAATATTTGTGAGTAAAATTGCTTGAGGCTGCAGTAGTTAGCGCTCTGGCTAGCACAGGGAACTTAGGCAATACTGTTAGGGTTGACTTGGGATGGTTATGGCAGATTTTAATGAGTGTGATTAGAAATATCAAATAATGAGTACATATTCTTGAAGCAGTCATTAATATTTAATGCACAGAAGCTCTATAGACTATATAAAACTACACTAGAATACTATACAGAACTACTTGTAGTATTATACTATGTAACAGTAAGGTTCTATATAATACTAATAAGGCTTTTAACAGATCTTATATAGCCATTAGAAAAACCTGGATTGGTTAAAAATCTTGAATGGAAATTGTACCCTTTCTGTGCAATTCTCCAATACCTCATGTACTGGTTGACTCTTTTACCACAGTTAAGCAAATTTAAGTGCTGCAATGCTTTTTGCTGCTGGCCCTGGAAAAGCTCCCTCCTCTCCTACAGTTCAACTGCAGGCTTAGGCACCTTCAGGTTTGGGACAGGCCCAGCAGGGGTGCTGTGGGAAGCATCACAGACCACCTGCCCAGGAGCCAGTGGATGAGGTGTTCTGCAGGCACGTGGCATTTGTATGCAATGTGTAAGTAATTCTGGGCAAGCTGTCCAGCACAGCACCATCAGAACAGCATGCAAATGTTTAAATCTACCCTTTATATTTCTGCAGGGACTTGAGATTGATGTCAATAGGAGGTGGCACAGATGAAACCATGCTTTCCATCATATGCAAATACATGGACATACTTCCAAGAAAGTGACGCATCTGCACTCTTCCTTGAAAATTAAGAAAGCAAGAGCACGACTTGTGCTGCACAATGAAGGTGACAAGCAGCCAGTACACTTCGAGCAGAAAACAGATCAGTAATTTTGCCATCAGAACGCACATCAATGTCTTTCACGGTTACCACTCTGTGTTTTCCAGTGTCAAATTTTTTTGATATGAAGCACTCTCAAAGCTTGCATTCTGTTTTCTCAGTGGGTTACCTAAGTTTTCCAATGACCCATGCTAATCACACAGAAAAAAAGTAAGTTCTTTAATCAAGCTTTATCTACACTTCAGAGCATCTATGCAGACAATTACGAAACAGAACTTCCATATGAATGGAAGCTATGTAGCTTAATTTCATTTCAGTATAGCTTTGCTTTCAAGATGAACAATCATGGCACAAATTATTCCCTGCCATAATGAAACCCCAGAACAGTGCCTTTCCTCTCAATTACAGGTACCTTCCCTATCTTTCACTTTTAGCAAGCAATCATTAAAATGAGCTCTGTCATCTTTGCCAAATCCGTATCAATTTGTACTCCACTCTGTCATGGACTTTTGGTGATGGGAGTTGTGTCAAATTTTTATTTGCAGAATTCTACAAACAACTGTTTAAGTGTATCTGAAGCTTGCGGAGGCCTGAACTTCAGCAGCAATGTACCATGTTTTGTGCATAAGTATTAAGAAAAATATTAAAAATAAACACATTAATATGAAAACTGTGCATAATTACTTAAAGTCTTCCTAAAGCAGCCATTTACGCTGGAAGAGGCAGCCTGTATTATTGATTGAAAAAATAAAAATTGCCCCTAAATACAGCACCATTTCCAAAAAATACACTGGTATTCTACAGTAGAAAAAAATGTATATAAACAACACTAGCTAGGATAATACTACAGGACACTTTATTTGTAAGTTCGTAATTGATCATTAATGGTAACACATCATACAGTATTTCTAAAAAGGTTTTCCAAAACTTGTAGATACAATTTCAATATCTAGCAAACTTTTTTTTTTTTGAATGTTCAACTCAGCAACGTAATAGCCTCAATAATTAGAAACTACTTGGTGAGCCAAAACTAAGTCTTCAAAATAAAATACCCTAACGTGACTGCACCTCCAACAAATGCATCATAATATACTTTAATATATAAAATTCAAAATATCTGCTATTGTATTTCAGACATCATGCACTGTAGATTTAGGGACTATCACTAACTGAAAAATAAACATACTAATGGTAAAAGTTCAAGTGATTCAGTTGAATCATTTCAGTTTTATATACTTTAAATATAAAGAAAACACTTGTACTGTGTCCATATTGGTTGGTCCCAATGATGAAAGGCATTTGCTTAAAAGAGTAGATGTGTAAACATGATTTGTCACATTTAAATTAAAAAATAAAAAATCCAGTTTTAAGTAACTTCTTTTCAAAACGCTCACTTAAAGTTACTTAAACATCATCAGATCTAAACAAAAAAGTAATTTTTGGGGCTATCACTATTACATTTGCTAGCTTCAGGCCAGCCTTTAAAACTCCACAGGTAAGATCTGTTTAGAAAGATGCACATATTCTTTGTGTTCTTGCAACTGAAATTATTATATGCCTGAAACTGGAGCTCTAATTTAGAGCATGGCCCAGAATGAAAAGCAGAATGAAAAAGAAAGCCTTGAAATTCTGCAATTACTTCACTTTCAAATAACCACTGTTATTTGAATTTTTTCAATCAATTCTAATAACTATTTTCCCCTAAAAAAATCCATCCCGCTATGCTAGCTGTTTCTGCATATTTACAAATAATCCCCCCAAAACAGGGGATGATGGAAAAACTCTGATACATTAAGAAAACTATATATAATTTCGCATTAATTGTTAATGCAATTTACAACAATTTCACTGTTTTATCCACAAAATGTGCCACTTTAAATCAATGTCTTCATTAACTAAGACTACAGTTGAAATTATACAATGTAAACCAGAGGTAACATGCATCACCTCAGTTTAATAATCCAGTATATCACAAAAAAAACAAATAATGAAAACAGCATCATGTAGCATAATAGCTTTGTCTGGCTTCCTCTGGAGAGTGTTCTCAGTCTGCCCATAGTTGCACCTAGAAGTCCACCCGTAGAGTCAAAATCATTCTCCTACATGGAAAAAAACAACCAAGCAAACAAAAGAACAAAAAACATGTTAGTCTGAGAAAGAAATACTCTTACTGCTCACTAAATATAATTTTCCCTGTTTTTTCAAAGTCTCCAGAACTAAAATTATTTTAGAGGCAGAAACTTTCACCCATGTATCCAGTGCTATTACTACCCCAAGCCGAAGCAAAGTGTAAGCAAAAAAGGCATTTCTGACTCCCTTATTTTTTGCTCCTTTTCTTCTATTCTTGAATACAATTAAATATAGAACTACCTTTTTCATGATACTTGACATTTGCTGATTGAAAACCTATACTGCTATCCGAAGCATAAACATCAAGGTTGTGCCTTAAGAGTAATGTATTTGCACATCTTATCTTTTTGAACAGAAATACTGGTACTGCTGACAAATCAGTCACATGTTACAGTCAACAATAAGCTGTCAAAATTTTAATACCAATGTTCATACTGAAAGACAGCATGCTTTACATTATTAACTTCTAATCCTGACCCATATTTTAAAGAAAGCTAGTTATTCAATGCTTACCATTTCTGATAACATTTTATTCTGGTTTTTAACTTCTGTTCCAATTTCAATGGAAAGCTATAAAAAAAAAAAAAAAACCAAACAAACAAACCAAAAACAAAAAAGTATTAAATATGAAGAATCATCAGTTACTACGTAGATTAGAGAACCCAGTCAAAAATACATGACATGACTAGCATTTTCCCCAGTGAAATACATGATATTTTCAAAAACCAAAATAACAAAAATTATTAAATATGAAGAATCATCAGTTAATACGTAGATTAGAGAACCCAGTCAAAAATACATGACATGACTAGCATTTTCCCCAGTGAAATACATGATATTTTCAAAAACCAAAATAACATGCACAGTAGTCTATCAATAACCCTTAGGGAAATAAAAGATTTTTCATCTGACTAGATGAGTCTAAAGAGTCACTGGAAGTACTCGATGCTCCTCTTCCCCTTTTCCAGATAATGCCTTACTTGAATTATTGGAAGGACTGTAAAAAACTCAAGATCTAGTCAAGTCTGAAGTAGCAATTACCCATTCCTGGAACAACTGTTAAAACTGCTGGCACACAGCAGAGAGAACCATGAGCACTGGCTTGACTCAAGGTGTTGCTGGAGTTGACACTTGTAACCTGCAAACACATCTCTTTTGACAAGCTGCTGCTGTGCTATAAACAGGACTTTCTTCAGTGAACTTGTGTAGCCCTTCTCTGTTTTATGTCACAGAACAGAAGGAGGAATGCTGCACTAGGGCCAGTCCTGAGGCAGTGTCCAGGGCCAGCAACAGCCTGGGCAGAAGCCTGAGACAGGTCCCAGGTCAAGCCAGAAAGTGAAGTCAGGTTAGGGTTGGAATCAGGGAGGTATGAGACCAGGCACAGCTGGAGCTGCAACATCACAAAGGTGGGAGCCAGCCAGAAGAGCCCTGGCTTAAAGCAGCTCTGGAGTTAAACAGGGGAGAACTGACACTGAGCCTGACTCTTAGTGGCCTTTCCTCTGTCATCAGCACACTGGCCTTGAACAACCTGCTCAACTCCTGGGATGGAGGGAAATGCACTCCAGGCCCCCATGCTTTGGATTAGCCAAAACCGATTTGTTTTCACATGTCAAAACTTGAGTCTCATTATCTTGTACTGATGCATTTCAATCAAGAGTGAAACTGATTTTACATGAGGCTTCTTGGATTATGTGAAGGCTATTCCATATGCCAAGATTATCGCATTGCACTAAAAGACACAACTCCAGAAAGATCTCCTTGGGGAACCATGAACTGCTCTTGTTGACATACATGGATTTTGAAATGCAACACACCACAGCAGGAGACAAGAAATGAAAATTGATAACAAAGGTCAAAGCTTTTTTTTTTACCCTTTAACTTGCTCTATTCATATTCTAAACCTGTATCATTTCTCTTTGAGACTAAATCAATTTTAAGCAACAGTATTAGCAGTAAGACTTCGAGTGAGTTCAGGCCTAAAAAATTCACTGTAATGTGCTTTATAAAACTAAGCTTTTAAGAACAAGAAATCCACACAACTTTAATCTCAGAGCTGTCTTTCAGTTATACTTGTTTAAAAGAAGTCTTCAGTCTCTGAAAGGAATCAGAACCATCAGAACACCAAACTTTTCCTTCAGAGGATATTAGCATGCCATTTCTAAGAACTGTTTTCACATTACATCTTTTTTGACTGCAATTCCCATTCCCCATTTCCTTGTACCACTGAGGGTTAAGAAGCAGAGAAAATTGGGAGTGAAGCTGAGCCCAGGAAAAAGGGAAAGGTAGTGGCAAGGCATTTTAAGTCTTTTAATTCTCACTACCCTACTGATTTGACTGTCAATGAATTCATTTCCCCAAGTCGAGTGTGTTTTGCTCATTATGGCAGTTGGTGAGCGATCTCTCCCTGCCCTTATCTTGATGCACGAACCTTTCACTGTGCTTTTTCCTCCCCTGTCCATCCACCTGAGCATAATAGAGCAGCTTTGGCAGTCACCTGTCATCCAACCAGGCTAACACATCACAGTTTTAAATTTCTGCTTTAAACTACGTCTACTGCTTCCCTGATTCATACAGCTGAATTTCCTGACTGTGGCGGCACCACTGCAGTTAAATACGTACCGATTTAATGGCACTGACTTTTGTACGCAGACTTTCTGTTAACCTGTCGTTCTCCTCTTCATAAACGCTGTAGCCACTGTTGGTATAGCCATAGCTCCCTGCAGCTGCTCCATCACCTGGAAGCACAACAGTCAGAGGGCACACTTCCTTCAGAACTCCTTGCATAAACATCCATCCCCTCTTCAGAAACAGCACACAGCTGGGTGGCCTCCACTCCAACCAAGAGGGAGCTGTCAGTCTGACAGAGGAAAGGACTGAAGACCTCAGCACAATCAAATCCCCACTTCTTAATGATACACATCCTAACACCTCTCTTGATTCACTAAGAAGCGTTCCCAAGACTTGTTTTATTTCATGAAAACACTCCTGCACAATACAAATCTGAAGGGTAGGAGTAAATCTAGCGTAGTGTCACACACACCTGGTTCAGCCCTAAATACTGTCTAGGAGAAAGCCCCAGAACTCAGTCATACACTGAGAGGTGTAAACATCTCCTAAGCTTTACAGTGCCGTCAGAGCACCCACATGGTTGTAGAACATGACGTGGGAGTTCAAAGTTTCCTTCTAGTCATCAACATGACTGCTGGCTGAAAAATGAGGCCTGAGCTGCTCAAAACACTCAGCAGGAACTCTGCAAGGATTTCTCAATTTGCACCAGATTATATCTGTAATAAATTTATAATAGTTGGGATTCTTGTTTTCTTACTCCTAAACACGGCAGGAAACCATGGAGAAGCACTTAAAAAAACCCCAAGTGAACTATTTCTGAATTTGGAGAGGACTAGATTGAAGAGCAACAAATCTGCCTATAAACTGGAACACGGCTCAAACTAACATGGTATTAGAACAATGAAACAACAGCACAACTAAATGGGGCAAGACTATTTACAAGAGCACGTAGTGACAGGACAAGGGGAATGGGTTAAAATTGTAAGACAATAGGTTTAATGCAGTATTAGTAAAGAATGCTTTACAGCGAGGGTGGTGAGGCACTGGAACAGGCTGTCCAAAGAAGTTGTGGATGCCTCCCCATCCCTGGAAGTGTTGGATAGGCCTCTGAGCAGCCTGGTCTAGAGGAACCTGTCATGGCATGGGGGTTGGACCTAGATGGTCTTTAAAGTCACTTCCAAACCAAATCCTATAATTCTGTAACAAAACACGAACCCTGCTCCGTAAATCCAGCGGGGCCAGCAGGAGAGGCAGAGGCAGGGCTGACGGCCTTTCCCCGCCAAGGCTCCCGAGCCTCGCCACAACCCCGCACCCAGGGCACGGCTCCCCTCACGCCTCCCGCGCCCCCAGCCCTGACAGGGGCCGGGTCCTGCCCGCACCGAGGCCCGGCCCCGCCGCCGCGCTTACCCAGCCCCGCGCGCCTCATGGCTCTGCCCTAAGCTGCCGCGGGAGGAGCGGGACGAGGAGCAGGAGGAAGAAGAGGAGGAGGAGGAGGAGAGGCAGGCCGGGACGCCGCAGGGACACGGCGGGCTCGGCGCGGCGGCCGCGGACCCTTCACCCGCGAGCGCCACGACAGCGCTGCGCGCGCGGCCCGCTGGGTGCGCGCCCGGGGCGCGACGGGGCCGCGCGGGGGCTGCTGGGGGCTGTAGTCCTGGTCTAGGGCCGTACCGGAATGCCGAGGAAAGTAAAATTAGGTGCTGTGAGGAGCTTTTAACTTCTTTCTTCCCCCCTCCACTGTTTATTTAGAAGTAACAAGCGTCCCACTGCAGCATACAGAAAATTAGACTGGAAACTTGAAGATTATAATATTATTATTGAATTATTTAAATTTTGTTTTGAAAGATAATTTCTCCTTCATTCTTTAACCCCTTGCAATGCTTTAGCACATATGGGTTTTTTCTGCTTATATGAAAGATGTGACTCACTCCACACCAGTGAATTGAATTTATTTGCCAGGATGATACCAGAAGGATTTATCAGTATTCCAAAGTAAAGCAAACACCGCTGAGTCCATTCAGAATTTGCTATTTAAGGTGTGGTGCCACTGGACTAAAGAAGCTGAACTGCCTTTCCAACTACAACAGGCTGCCTTTTCATTAATTGCTCTGGTGTTTGTCTTCTGGTAGGAACTATGACCCTCAGCACTGGACCAGCACTACTTGCACTGTACAAAGTATTTAACACAAACCACAGCTCCTTCTTCAGTGAGCTTGCAGCACTTCACCGAGGCAGGCAGAGTTGTAGAAGGAAGAGTAAAACAGTTCTGGTCAATAAGATGGCCCATGGCATCCTGCTGACCTCCTGTGCAATTGCTGTAAGACACCCCAAGTCTCTAGTGAATAAACCCACAAATAATTGCAGCATTTCTTTTCTCTCTGTTTGTGGAAGTGCTTTTGAGAACTTAGTCTTGTATCTGTCCATGTTCCAAACATGATGCTGAGAAGCTGCTGATTTATTTCCTTCTCTGTCACCTCTGGATGCCTATGCCTCAAACAACATTACAAAGAGTAAAGTTAGTTAATGCAGAAAATTACTATTTATTTAATTTTTGACAATTTAATCAGTTTATCCAAAATTTCAGGTACAGCATCATTTGCTTATCTAAAACAGAAGCGAAGGCCAAGGAGGAGAAATGAGCTGCCGAGCTGTCCCCTGTAGTGCTCACTGTGAAGCTAATCCCCATGGGATTCTGTCTGGAACTCAGCAATTCTTACAGGAATTTGCTAGCTGCCATTATTGATAACCTGAGACTAGATTTACAGCAGTTCAGGGAAATGCATCAGTTGTTTCAAAGACGGGAAAAGTGCTATCACCAGATTGAAGCTCAAAGATTTAGCCCTTGGAGGTAAAACCATCTGAAATTCACAGACGAGCCCATTTTTCACCTTGCTGGGGCAAAGAGGCCTCTTAAAGGATTACCTGCTTAGAGCAGCAAAATTTGGATGTTGCAAAATGTACAGAAAATAAGCAGATTCTGAGCAAACCTTCTCCCTAAGTGCTTCAGATTTGAACTAGGGCTCTGTTAGGAGCAATGTCCTCATCATGAGAATTTTTGAAGAAAGGCTAGCGTGACAGTCTATGCAACAAGTTAAAGAGAGTTAGGACTGAAAGTTTAGGAGGCAGTAGGAAATGTCTTTTCATAACAGCTGGCCTCGCTCTCTCTGTTTGTTTGGTGTAATTTTATTTACATTTTTGTCTTCATACACCATCCAAGAAAATTATTGAATTTGGTGACATTGCTATATGAAAAGGTTTATCTTTACAGTATTTGCATATTATATGTAATCTTTTTCTTTCCCACATAACTCATCTTCCATTTTTCAGTAAATATGGGTTTATAAATAACTAGGTAAAATGTATATCTCTCGACAAGGATTGTAGTTATTCATTTTAAGGGGCTCATTTTTCATTTTCACTTACATTTTCTGCCAAATAAAATCCCAATTAACCACATGTAAGGTGTTCACAACTCATAGTGTATATATAATTTCCTTATGATGTTGTGAAATAACATCTTGAGTCTATATGCAATTTACAAATACCACATTTAATTCTAAAGTTTCTTACAGCACAGCGTGAAAATGATACTGACATGATTCATGTTTCAGATCCATTTTAGTCATACTGAATTTATGGTTTTTCATACACTGGAAGTACCTGATAGAAAAGTTAGATCATTCTGTAGATCTCCTGGCATTACAATAAGGAAATCGCGATTCCATCCCGCAGCAGAGGCTGCACACAGAGGTCAGCTGGATGCCATTAATGTTCGCTGTGTTTATGTTGCATTTCCATGGAACAGCTTGTATTCGTGTTAACGATTTCACAGAACACATCTGTGAAATAAATACAGTTTTTCTGTTGGTGTGATTAACTGTGCTGCTGCTGGCTTTCTGGCCCACTCCCTGGCAGCTCCTGCATGGAGACCGTGCCCTGAGCTCCCCAGCCTTGCGAACCAGCTGTGCAGGGTAGCCAGCAGGTGTGCCTGCAGCTGTTCCTTGGCATCTGCAGCTCTTCCTGCCAGGAAGCCTAAAGGAGTAGTCAGCAAGTGGTTTTAAATGAGTGACTCATCAATGTTTGGTTTACCAGTGACAACACGCAGGAAGAGCAAAAGCACGTTAAAAAATAAATAAATAAAGCCCGCCGGCTTACCTGTCTTGTCAATGCTTTTACAATCTTTTAACATTAGCCTGCGACAGGTGTGTCATTGTCAGAGACCCTGCTGAGGCAATGTGCATGTCAGTCTCCTTTCCCCAAAATATTAGTGAACAATTTACTCTTTAAAAAAACCCAAAAATTATGTCGTTTATAAGAAGAGCATTCCACATGTCTTACCAGCTGTCCTGTCACTGCTACCACTTTTACTGACCCTTTACTGACTTCTACTCGTTCTCTTTACTGACTCAAATTAAACTAGATTACATTTATATAGCAAACAGCCCGCAGATTATATTAGTGGATTACTCCATGACTCCACTGCAAAAGCACTAAAAAGGAAAAAAAACCCAAAAACACAGGGAATCTGATTCAAACATCCTGTAAAATCAGTCTTCCAATACACAGCTGAATGCCCATGACTTTTACTAACATGATATAATAATGACATTATTTTAATCTAATTATTAAATAACTAACAAGAATTTCAGTGGTTTTACATGTTTAAAAACAGGTTATTACATCTTCATTATTAACTTGCTACTTTTAACAATTATAGATTGTGAAAACAGCCTGACTAGTCACAGGCATCATTAGCAAGTTGAAAAGCAGATATCACACAATATGTTTAGTATCAAATATTTCAATCAATGTTTTGTTAAGCAGTAATCTTTAATTATTAAAAAAACTCACTTGGTAATTAAATCTTGATCTATTGTGCAATTAAATAACAGCTAACATTTCTAAATAAAACTGAAACATTATTGACAGAGAAGCAGCACAAAACAACAGACTACTTTAGTTAGCTTCAATATCTTCAAAAATGAGTAATGTCAGCATCTTTCATCAGTATCCTTGTCAATTAATATCTTAGTTTGTTCTAAGACTATTTAGCAAATGAGAACTCTGAAAGTGCTTCTGTTCCAACAAACCCAGTGCAATCATTCAGGACTTTGCTCCCATGTTGTTAAGCTGACAAAACCGATAGTGGGCTTAGTATGTGATGAGCCTTGTTTTTCCTGGTTGTATTCTCCAAATAATACTGTCAGGAAAACCAAATACTGTGTAAAACCACATCTTCTGTAAGACTTTAAATGGCTGAAGGTGTCTGCTGCTCATTGCCACCCAGATTGTCAAGCAAAGAAGTAACCATCCATGTCACCAGAGGAATAGTGTGTGCAGTCATCACAAATTCTTTAATGATGAAACCATATGTAAATCACTGCAAGTACCAACAAACCTGTTGGTGTCACCCATCATGATGATTCAAAACTTTATTAAATACTGCCAAGGAGAGCCACGGCAGGTTTTGGTCTTAATGCAATTCCATCATAGCTGGCGCCTTCCTTCTGGAGTAAGGTTTGGAGTAATTTAATCTCATTTTGTATTCTAACTATTTTTTTTATTATGTTATTTTAATAAGAGTTATCAAGTATCTGCATAACTAGCCTTTTTTGTCTTTAGAAGATAACCAAGAAAATATCTATCTGGACAAGATTCTGAGAACTCCTGTAATCTTTTATAAAACCATGTTGCTGGGAATCGGAGGAGCTTCCTTGAATATACGTAATCATATTTATCCCTGCCAAGCCATCTTAAGCCTTTCCATACACAAGTTCAAAGGATCATTAACACTTTGTAGCTATAAAGACTTCCTATCTCATAGCTTTGCATATGAGTATGATTACAGGTTAAAAAATCACATAAACCTATCATAACATTTTACAACTCAGTAAATATGCTTAGAGCAAAATTTCCAGTTTGTATTTATATAAAGTTGTGATGGAACACTTTCCACACAACTTTCTTGTTCCTGATTTCAGTACAATTTCCACTTTACAGTCATAGTGGAGGTCCCTCAGGAAGCTTGGTTTTTCAGACACACATCAGCAGCAAAGAACCACCTGGGGGAAAGAGAAACAATATCTGTAGTTGCATCAGCAGAAAGTGTCTAGTGAGAAAGTATGGTCTTTTTCACCTTTACAACACTTTTAAAATTTGTTAGCAGTGAAGGCATCTTTCTTCTCACTTTGATATAAGTTGTATTAGGGAAGTATTGAGCTTTATATTGGCTCATGCACCATATAATTTAATTATAATTATTATTTACCTGGTTGCAAAATACTGTGATTATTCTTATTCTCTCCTTCAGTTGCTTTTTAGTATCGTAAACTGCTCTGAATCCTATTTGATTCTGCAGGGAACACACCCAGAAATCTCTGCTGTATTTTTATAAATTTCTTGTCTGTGCTGTTAAATTACATCAAAATAAAGAAGAGAGGTTGTGAACACAACTGCTGTCTCCCTCCTAAATTTCATTACGTAGGGCTAGAATCAAAATTTACTAAAGTCATGGAGAATTTTTGTATTGACTTTGGATCAGGCTATAAATTTTTATTTAAAAAACACCTCTGCTGATTATTTATCTCCCAAGTAGTGTATGCTGTGTAATCTATGAATAAT